GTGTTTCTCAATCACCGGTCAATGTGATTTCACGAAGGAAAATAAAAATATTTACATGCAAATCATAATGGTTTTACATTGTACCTTCAATAAAGTGGTCCACGACAGTTTAGGGAGGCAGCGAACTGGTCCCTACTATCGAAAGGATTTAGAAATGTTGTAGTCTACTCTTTCACTTCGATATCAGGAAAGGCTACCGCAGATAGCTCTGGAATAGCTTTTTGCAAAATTCAACAAACAAATAAAAACCTTTTTTTTTTCTTTTTGAACAAGAAATACTGAGAAAGAGAAAGTTTGTTTAGAATCTCGCCCAAAGCTACACGAGGGCTATTTGCGCTAGCCGGCCCTTATTTAGAAATGAAAGACTAGAGGGAAGGCAGTTAGTCATCACCACCCACCGCTAACTCTTGGGTTACTCTTTTACCAACATATAGTGGGATCGACCGTCATATTATACCGCCCCCTCCCACGGCTGAAAGATCGAGCATGTTTAGTGGGACGAGGATTCGAAACTGTGATCCTCAGATTGCGAGTCAAGCACCCTAACCACCTGGCCATGCCGGACCAAAAGAGAAAGCCTAAACAAACATTGTTTTCTTTCACTGCTTGACCTTATTGGTTTTTATGTATACAATATGAGTAATACTATCCAACTCCACTTCCCTCTAGTACTGAAACACTTACAAATGTTGACCATATTATTCTAGACCATAGTAGTTGATACTTAGGAAAAACGCAGTTTTATTGATTTATATTTTTTGCTCAGATTACAGGTCCCGCTACTTTCCTTTCTCCTCGTCTGAGGATCCACTTCGTGGTGGAGGGGTGCCTTATTTGAGTGAACGAATGCGCAAAAGACGTTGTTTCGCTGACAAAGAACTAGAAACAGTCATGTATGAACGAGAACGAAGAGCTCACTTACATCGGCACTTAGAAGTCCTGGGGTGTGGGCCGTTGGCAACAGCACCATTAGCAAGGTTGTCTGGTTTTCGGCCTTCGGGTTGTCTCGATCAAACCTTTTACCGCCCGCACGAACACCATCTACCTGTGCCATCTTTGTCAACCAACACGATCGGCGTAATAGACAACAATATCAATACTTGCCGGATGATTGGACATTTACTTCCTGGAGGAGGTCTTTTTAATACCACTCCTGCTTGTGTCGGTTTTGTTGAGTCATCAGGAACACCTCCCCAGGTAATTGACAATTCCTACGAACAATACACATTGTTTCCCACACTCCGAAGCTTATCCGAACCGGAAATTCACAGATTAGTTGGTATGACAACGTTTCCTTATCATTCTACTATGTTCGGCTCCACTCCTGCTCTCTCTCCTGTTGCTATGACATCACAACAATCTGATGAACTATCGAATGTCAACAGAGTAGCGAGAGAAATAACGAGAGTGGCATTCGAAGGAATGGATCGGAAATGCTCAGCCTTTAGAGAGGTTGGAGGAACGAAACTTATATCAGCTGCTTCAGGTCAAGAAAGATCCCGGTTTAACGACGAAGTCTCAAACACTAAAGATAATAGGTCAAAACAACGAGAAATTTCATTTTCAGTAGAATCAATTATTGGTCGAAAGTAATAAGTCTTGGGTGGCAATTCGATAAGCAATATAACCATTTCCTATTTAAGCATCACCTTCTGAAAGAGAATAAAACGACTGTCGTTTCAAATAATTTGCCTGAATATAACTTTTTGCTTCAATTAGAAAAAACAAAACAAAACAATAATTAAACTTCGAGGTAGTGGTGCAGCAAGTGATGGACGTGGTTCTATTTCTACGTGATTTCGTATTAGTAACTTTATTTGATGGTAACTGTAAATAAGTTGTGTCTGTTGCTGTTTATAGTCTATAGTACGTAAAATTTACCGGTTTACTGTGTTATTCTCCTTCGATGACGAATGGAGATCTTTGTGCCTTAGATCAAAGTTAAAAACAATACAGAGCTCATATCACTACATAGAGAACGTCGTGCGTAAAGTCTTCTGAGCATCAAATGTATATAAGGAGTATAACATCAACAAGATTAAGCAGATTTGAAATCAAGATGGGTCTGTTGAACATTTGTAACGTGCAGCTCGAGATAAATAACAATATAGTTATACTTTATAGTTTAGAAGTAGTTAGCAGATAAACTGAAGGGTTAGTATTGCATAAAATTGTGCAAGGGTTTTCTATTTGTTTAAAACTTTAAAACAAAATAATCTTAGTTTAAATCTGAAAAATTAAAAAAGAACTGGTTTTCACTGTGATGTATTGACCCAAAACAACTAGGTTTATAGATCAGACTGTAAAACAAAACCTGGATGTTTTATTTAGATATTTTAGTTTAGTTTTTGTAAGTGACTAACCTCATAATGATGTCAGAAAATAAGAATATGAAATGAAGATGGCGCCACTTTAAGAACAAAATAAATAATGATAAAACAAAGAAGTTCAGTGGAAAAGAACGTGAACTTTCAAAATACAATATAATCATTTTTAAACGAAAGGAAGAGGACGCTACTTTGATACCAAACTAAATAATTAAAAATATACAACAGTCAAGTGAAGAAAAAACATATAAAAAGTTTTTCAACGGAATTAAGAGAGCGCCTTTTTAATACCAAAATAATTAAAAAATAGATCAGTTCAGTGGAAAAGGGCTTAAACTTTTGAAATGCAATATAAACATTTTTATGACTAGTTTTGTTATTATGATTTTATTGTATGTACCTCACTGGTATTAATTGTTCTTTATTTATAGTCGTAGCTAATCCTAGGCAAATACTACTTATAGTAAAACCTGGAAATATAAATGCTCATGTCCTTCTCCAGGTTTTGCTTAACAGTCTACAGACAAGTTTTTACAAGAAAAAGAAAAACTACCCATAACCTTCTCCAGTTTGTGCTTAACAATCAAATAGACAGAGTTTAACTGAAAAAAAATTATGTTCTTCCGAAGGTTTTACTTAACAATCTACAAAAAAATTTAAACTGAAATTTTTAAACTTATGACCTTCTGCAAGTTGTACTTAATCTACAAACAAGTGTTGACAAAAACAGCTGATGACCTTCTCCAGTTTGTGCTTAACAATCTACAAACAATTTTTAACTGAAAAAATAAGGCAGAAAAACCAGTAGATTATTTCATGCAAAGTATTATGTGCGTTTGTTCAATTAAAATGTAATCATTAAACTTACTGAACAATGATATCATACGTACGGTTAGTCTCCTCTCTCTCTCTTTTTTTACTTTGTAATGTACCCCCCTCGGTGGGTCAGCTGTAACTTTACTGAGTTACAACACTAAAATTCTGGGTTCGATTTCCCGCTGTGAACAGAGCACAGATAGCCCGTTCTCTAGCTTTGTAATGAAACGAACAAACGAAACCTATGTAATAATGATGACAATCAGAGTTTATATAGTAGTAATTATCTGAATTATGTTAGAATTAATCACTAAAACGTTTTCATTAGCTGATTAAAGACAGAAGGTCGAGATTAAAATAAATCAAAAGAAACTAAATTCCACCAACAACTATATCCAGTTCGTCATGATCACTAGAAAAATAGTATCAGTTTCATATTTCTTCTGAACAATGGTAACTGACATATTTCTACCTCAAATCCTAAAATTTTCAGATTTCACTCTTTGTATTAAGATATAATTCATTGGTGAATCTGTGCGCATCTGCGTCTATTTTAACTAAATTTTTTTTTCATATTTACTTTTGTTTCTTAAGGAACATATTTGTATTAAATTATTTTAACCTATAGAATATCTAAATAACACCGGCTTATCCCTCTAGATGATTGTCTATAGAATACAGAAGATAATCCTTCGATAATTATCTACACAATACATAAGACAACCTATCTAGTAGTAATCTATAGAATACACGAGATAATCCTTCCAGTTGTTATCTAAAAATAGAGAAGATAACTCTTTAATAATTATCTACAGAATACACGAGATAACCCTTCCAGTAGTTATCTATGGAAAATAAAATATAATTTCTGTAGTAATTATTTATAGAATACAAAAGATATTCCTTCCAGTAGTTATCTGCGGAATACAAAATAAGCCTCTCCAGTAACTATTTATAGAATACATAAGATAACTCTTCTAGTAGTTATCTATGGAATACGAAAGATAATTTCTCAAGTAATTATTTATAGAATACACAAGATAACCCTTCCAATAGTTCTCTGCGGAATACAAAATACAACCATTCCAGTAACCAGCAACTATTTATAGAATATACAAGATAACTCTTCCAGTAATTATCTATGGAATACAAAATGTAATTTATCAAGTAATTATTTGTAGAATACACAAGATAAACATTCCAGTAGTTATATATGGAATACAAAATGTAATTTATCAAGTAATTATTTGTAGAATACACAAGATAAACATTCCAGTAGTTATATATGGAATACAAAATACAACCATTCCAGTAATTATTTCTATAATACACAAGATAATCCTTTCAGTGATTATCTATAGAATACAAAATACAATCATTCCAGTAATTATTTATGTAATACACAAGATAACCCTTCCAGTAGTTATCTATGGAATACAAAATACAACCATTCCAGTAATTGTTTATATAGTACACAAGATAACCCTTCCAGTAGTTATCTATGGAATACAAAATACAACCATTCCAGTAATTATTTATATAGTACACAAGATAAACCTTCCAGTAGTTATATATGGAATACAAAAGACAATCTGTTAAGTAATTATTTATAGAATACAAAGATAAGACTCCAATAATTATATATCGAAATCTTGTTTACAGAGTTCCTGAAATACATTCGCGGTTCATTTTCTGTAAAGTACACCAGAAAAAGCTTCCAAAAATTACGTCCGTTTCTTCCTCTGTGTGGGGATGATGCAACAGTATTGAAGGATCGATCACGCCGGAGCTGGGAGTCGGGTGAAGATATAAACACAGCAGCAGCGTGTCGCACCTCATTTTCAGAACATGCTCCACTCCATAACCCCTGCTGTCTCCTAACTCTTGTCTAACTCGTCTAGCAGCTTACTGGCAGTTTGGTGTCAATCTCTTATAAAATTTGTCATCCATCAGCCTCCTTAGCTTTTAGTGAAGGCTTGAATTAGAATATCTAACTTCAGAGGTAAAGGTTTCCGTTTCTCCAACATCATTTTGTTTCGTTTAACAAGTAGCAAGAGCATGAGTTGAAGCTATTTAAAACAAGTCCTGATTTATAAAGGTAAGGAGGATATTTATTTCTTACTCAATAGAAGTTAACTTTTCGTTCTCAGTTTAATAAAGGCTAATAATAATCCTTAAGTGTAGCCACGTTTCTCTACTTTTAGACTGTAACCACGTTTCTGTACTGGTACAGTGTAGCCACGTTTCTCTACTTGCAGAATGTAGCTACGTTTCTCTACTTGTAGAGTGTAGCCACGTTTCTCTACTTGTAGAATGTAGCCACTTTTCTGTACTTGTAGAATGTAGCCACGTTTTCTGTACTTGTAGAATGTAGCTACGTTTCTCTACTTGTAGAGTGTGGCCATGTTTCTCTACTTGTAGAATGTAGCGTGTTTCTCTACTTTTAGAGTGTAACCACGTTTCTCTACTTGTACAATGTAGACACATTTCTGTAATTGTAGAGTGTAGCCACGTGTCTCTACTTGTTCAATGTAGATAAGTTCTTGAAGCTGTAGAGTGTAGCTACGTTTCTCTACTTGTAGAGTGTAGCCATGTTTCTCTACTTGTAGAATGTAGACACATTTCTGTAATTGTAGAGTGTAGCCACGTGTCTCTACTTGTACAATGTAGACAACTTCTTGAAGCTGTAGAGTGTAGCCACGTTTCTCTACTTGTACAATGTAGATAAGTTCTTGAAGCTGTAGAGTGTAGCTACGTTTCTCTACTTGTAGAGTGTAGCCATGTTTCTCTACTTGTAGAATGTAGCCATGTTTTTCTACTTGTAGAATGTAGCTACGTTTCTCTACTTGTAGAGTGTAAGAGTGTAGCCATTTTTCTCTACTTGTAGAATGTAGCCGCGTTTCTCTACTTTTAGAGTGTAACCACGTTTCTCTACTTGTACAATGTAGACACATTTCTGTAATTGTAGAGTGTAGCCACGTGTCTCTACTTATACGATGTAGACAACTTCTTGAAGTTGTAGAGTGTAGTCACGTTTCTCTACTTGTACAATGTAGATAAGTTCTTAAAGCTGTAGAGTGCAGCCACGTTTCTCTACTTGTATGTTTTTAGTGCACTGGGATTATGAAAAATCTCCCAATCTTTTTATTATAAAAATTGAAAGCAATAATCCCCTGTTAATATTAAATATAATAAAACTTCAAGTTTGAAATACGTTTAGACTTATGTCGAAACATAATTTCATCATGCTAATTTCAAGCCAAGGAAACCTGAGCATGATTACCTATACATACAATAGTGCCATGTTTATATACCCTGGTGGTGGAGGGCGGAAATATTTTATTCACTTAATGAAAGTTACGGTGTAATCCACTCATTTAGTAAAAATAAAAACACCTGAAGCCTATCAACTGTCTTTAATAAAATGATAAAACTTGTGAAATTTGTATTTATAATATTTGATGATAACTCATCTAGAAACCGTATTTTCTAATTACATCGAATTAATTGCCCATAGTTTTGCAAACTCAGCTAAACCTTTGTAAGCTCTGATCTCAGTAAGTTCTCATTTACAAAGAATCTACAAAAGGAAATTAATAATTGCTCCTTTACGGTTCAAGCAACGAATCTTAGATCATGAACGTTTGGTAACTCTTCCCAAAACGATACTGAAACCCAATCTACAACAGAGAATACTGTTTGGTTTACCATACGAGTCAGTAGTTGTCTAACACTCACGTCTCTTCCCATATAATCTATATCAGACTACAAATATTACCATTCAAACCACATTCACACTCCTGTATCTAATACACTTTATTCTGGAGCTATGTTCCAAAAACACCAAATAATTCAATGTGATTAATATACCGTGTGTAATGTCCTGAGGTTTTTAGTCTATTTTGCTTGCCGTGTACTCTCTCCAAAGGTTAGTCCTTCCGTTCTTTTTCTTGCATTTTTTCCAGCCTTTAATCCCGCCCCACCCTCAACTTCCCAGTTCTTTCTCGGGTATCATCTGCAGTGTTTATTCACCCGATTTATTGTTGTGTATTTTCTCTACCATCTAATCTCCCGCTTTCTTGTCGTGTATGCCCTCCAGTTTTGTTTCTCGGTTCCTCGCTGTGTATTTTCTCCAGTATTTAATCATTCAAGATTCCTTGTCGTGTATTCCTGCTAAGGTTTAGTCCTCTAATCCCTTTTCATACATTGTCTCCAGTGTTAATTCATCCAGTTCCTTGTCATGTATTGTCTCCGGCGTTTTGTCCCCTGGTTTCTTTTCGTATATTCCCTTCAATCCGCCGGTAACTTATCTGATATTCCCTCGAGCGTTTAGTCTTCCATCTGTTAGTCTTGTATTCTCTCTATTGTTTACTCTCCTGGTAGGTTAGCAGTAAACTTGAAAACCCTACTGCTTAAAATTCGAAGTTCGATCGCCGCGACAAACAGCACAAATAACTCATTGTGGATCTTCGCGTTAAAACAAACAAATTCTCCATCATCTAATACTCACGTGTATATATATATATATATATTTCAGTCAAATAATTTGAACTTAATTTAGTTATTTCCTCACTAGAGATCACTGCTGGGAGAACGAAATAAACCGGCTACCAGAAAGTAAAAGCCAGAGGGACTTCAATGTTTACTGTGAATTCTTCGTGATTTGTTTTCTAAATCTGTCTTCTACGAAAATTAAAATTCCAAACTACCTTTTCCATTTTTCAAGGTGTTACTAACTTCTTTCTGTAATCTCTTGTTTTAACTAACGGTAGCTCTCACTCCCTCTACGTGCTTCCCTCTGTAGTATCTTGTTTTAATTAACGGTAGCTCATTCCCTCTGCAATCTCTTGTTTTAATTAACGGTAGCTCTCACTCCCTCTACGTACTTCCCTCTGTAATCTCTTGTTTTAATTAACGGTAACTCACTCCCTCTACGTTCTTTCCTCTGTAATCTCTTGTTTTAATTAACGGTAGCTCATTCCCTCTACGTTCTTCCCTCTGCAATCTCTTGTTTTAATTAACGGTAGCTCTCACTCCCTCTACGTACTTCCTTCTGTAATCTCTTGTTTTAATTAACGGTAGCTCTCACTCCCTCTACGTGCTTCCCTCTGTAATCTCTTGTTTTAATTAACGGTAACTCACTCCCTCTATGTTCTTCCCTCTGTAATCTCTTGTTTTAATTAACGGTAGCTCTCACTCCCTTTACGTGCTTCCCTCTGTAATCTCTTGTTTTAATTAACGGTAGCTCTCACTCCCTTTACGTGCTTCCCTCTGTAATCTATTGTTTTAATTAACGGTAGTTCTAACTCCCTCTACGTACTTCCCTCTCACTTAGGTTCTTTAATAAACTAACAGTGTTATCCTCAGATATTAGCTCATTTTGTTCTAAATCACTCAGGTGTTGTATAACACTGTTTATGAAGTCAAATTAGGTTCTTCAATACACTAACAGTGTTATGCTCAGTTTATTCTTTGTTCTGAATCTTGCACTCAAGTACCGTATTGCACTACTTTTTAAATTAAATTAAGTTCTTAATACAAGTGTTATCCTCAGATATAACTCCGTTGATACTCTGTATAAAGACTCACACAGGCCTGCTAATTTATAAATATAGTGGCAGGAAAACTTTGTATACACGCACACACACACACACACACATAGATACATAATATATGCCATCTTTTTCTTGGTTAATCGAACAATGTTTAATATACTTGTCTTGTTTAGCAGTTTCCAAAGGACTGATATTTAACTATCAACTTAACACATATAAATAGACCTTTTATGATGAATTTCATTATTCTCTTTTGAAACAAACTTTGACACTCAAGTATTGGGTTTTATAGGATATTTTAAAAGAGTCTCACGTACATGATTTAATGACGACTAACTGCATCCTTTTTAAGGTCAACTGTTGTGTGGTTTAATAAATCTCAACAGCTACAGCCAAGAGTGAATCTGAGGTTCGCGTCCCGTTGCCGTTGAAACAAATGGTGCTCTTCATTTTGGAGCCGTGGGTGCGTTATAAGAGTGATGGTCAAATCTGTCTATTTGTTCTGACAAAAGTGGGTAATGTTGACTAGCTGCCTTCTCTCTAGTTTATAACTTTTAACATTAGGGCCGACTAGCATAGATAAACCTCCTATAACACTGCGCAATATTTAACAAAAACAAAGAATCAAAATTTCGACAGCTGTCAGTTCAGAATCCTGACGCCACCCTTAAAATAATTCTTGGGGAGCTTTCTTTCTTAGTAATCTGTTTTTCATTCTGTAAGTGTAGCACTTCTCAGTTTGAAAATGTTTCAATTATTTTCCCTTTGATGTCCAAAAGACTACAGGAATCCAGACCCAGTGCTATAACAGTTGGAGACCAGTTTCATTATAACACTATCCATATTCTTGTTAAAAAATGAGTTGTTAACTCCTAAAATGCAATAAACGTGTCAGTATTTTCCATTCTACTTAAAGCACGTTCCTTGAAGAACTTGGAGTACGTACCCTTTTGGACTTAAAGCACGTTTCTAGGATATATATAGGATAAACAACATTAACATCTTGAATGTAACGGAGAAAGCTTTAAAGCGATTAAGTTTTGAATTGTAACTTTAATATCAAGAAGAGTAAAATAACGACCCTCTAAATCATCTGTTTTTAATTTTCCGTAACGATACGCGTGTCGAGTTCATTAAATTTGCGTTCTGCAAATACGAAATATAGCTAGAAGTTTCAACTCGAATGCTACATAGCCAATCAGGGATTCGTCAACAAACAACAGATAACTGAAAAATAATCCTCCAAGCTCAAGCAAAGAACACGTCGGAAATTATATGACTCTGGTATTCTGGTTTCGATCTTTTAGAATCTTTAATTATTATTTTTTATTAAATAAAAATACGATTTCACACCAGAATGTATGTTGATAAGAGCTTTTTTTTGTCGAGAATTCGATACTTAAAGCTGGATTAGATGCTGTTTATAAGTATATTAATTAAGAAAGAAAATACAAACCTTATACTTTATATGAAATTTAACTTTGATTGTGAAGTTTAGTTAATAAAGCTGGAATAAAGTACTTTGAACAAAGGCATGACAAGAGATACTTAATCCTACATTATGAGTTTTAATACTTACAAAACACACTCAGTTTTAATTCGCTGTGACCAGTGTTACCATATCTTAGCAACGGGAAGTTGTAATATTCCAGATTGCGTTGATCTTTTCTTTTATTTATTCTTACGTTAAATGCGTTTTTATATCTAACCTATCTTAAGATATCATTTTATTAAATATAGAAAATTCATCGTAAGTTATCGACTTATTAAAAACCGACTTAGAAAAGTGTCATCACTCCCAAAATAAAAACTATCCGTTCAGGATTGAGGATGTATAAACGTTCCTTGAAATAACAGTTCTAGTAACAAAACAAAGAAAGTTGCTTCATACAACAGTTCTAGTAACAAAACAAAGAAAGTTGCTTAGCGCAACGATTCTAGTAACAAAATTAAGTCGTTGCTTGATACAACAGTTATAATAATGAAATTTAAACGTTGCTTGATAAAACAGTTATAAAAACAAAATAAAAACATTGCTTGACACAACAGCTCTAATAACAAAATAAAAACATTGCTGGATCCAACAGTTCTAATAACAGAATAAAAACATTACGGATACAACAGTTCTGGTAACAAAATATAAACGTTGCTAGATGCAACAGTTCTACTAATAAAATAAAAACGTTACTGGATACAACAGTTCTAATAACAGAATAAAAACGTTCTTTGATCCAACAGTTCTAATAACAGAATAAAAAGTTGCTTGATCCAACAGTTCCAATAATAGAATACAAACGTTAATGGATACAACAGTTCTAATAACAAAATAAAAAAGTTGCTTGATACACCAATTATAATAACAAAATAAAAACGTTGCTGGATACAACAGTTCTAATAGCAAACTAAAAACGTTCCTTGATCCAACAGTTCTAATAATAAAATACAAACGTTAATGGATACAACAATTCTAATAACAAAATAAAAACGTTGCTTGATACACCAGTTCTAATAACAAAATAAAAACGTTGCTGGATACAACAGTTCTAATAAAAAATAAAAACGTTGCTTGATCCAACAGTTCTAATAATAAAATACAAACGTTGCTGGATACAACAACTCTAATAACAAAATAAAAACGTTGCTTGATACACCAGTTCTAATAACAAAATAAAAACGTTGCTGGATACATCAGTTCTAACAACAAAATAAAAACGTTCCTTGATCCAACAGCTCTCATAATAGGATAAAAACATTACGGATACAACAGTTCTGGTAACAAAATATACACGTTGCTTGATCCAACAGTTCTAATAATAAACCAAAGAAATATTCTTGATGCAACAGTTCTTATAACAAAACAAAAAATTTGCTTGATGCAAGAATTCTAGTAACGAAATGAAGGCGTTGCTTAATCCAACAGCTCTAATAACGGAATAAAAACATTACGAATACAACAGTTCTGGTAGTAAAATATAAACGTTGCTGGATGCAAAATTTCTAATAATAATAAAATAAAAACGTTGCTTGATCCAACAGTTCTAATAATGAAACAAAAACGGTGATTGATACAATAGTTATACTAGCAAAACAAATAAACTTGATTCATGTAATAGTTCTCGTAGCAAAACAAAAACGTTGCTTGATGCAACAATTCTAGTAACAAAAAGGCTATGTTGCTTCATTCAACAGTTCTAATAATGAAAAAACGTTATTGGATACAACAGTCATAAAGAAAAATAAAAAAGTTGCTTGATAGAACATTTCTAAAAACAAAATAAAAACGTTGCTTGATCCAATAGTTCTAATAATAAAATAAAAACGTTGCTTGATCCAACAGTTCTAACAACAGAATAAAAACGTTGCTGGATCCAACAGTTCTAATAACAGAATAAAAACGTTGCTGGATCCAACAGTTATAATAACAAAATAAAAACGTTGTTTGATCCCACAGTTCTAACAACAGAATAAAAACGTTAGCTGGATACAACAGTTACTAATAATAGAATAAAAACATTACGGTTACAGCAGTTCTAATAACAAAATAAAAACGTTGCTTGATCCAACAGTTCTAATAATAGAATAAAAACATTACGGTTACAACAGTTCTAATAACAGAATAAAAACGTTCCTAGATCCAACGGTTCTAATAACAAAATAAAAACGTTGCTTGATCCAACAATTCTAGTAACAAAATGAAGGCTTTGCTTGATCAAACAGTTCTAATTATGAAATAAAAACGTTGCGTGACACAATAGTTCTGGTAATAAAACAAAGAAAGTGGCTTGATACAACAGTTCTAGTAACTAAACAAAGAAAGTTGCTTGATGCAACAGTTGTAGTAACAAAACATAAACGTTGCTTAATGCAACAATTCTAGTAACAAAAAGACGGTGTTGCTTGATCCAACAGTTCTAATAATGAAATAAAAACGTAATTAGATACAACAGTTATAAAGAAAAATAAAAAAGTTGCTTGATAGAACATTTCTAAAAACAAAATAAAAACGTTGCTTGATCCAATAGTTCTAATAATAAAATAAAAACGTTGCTTGATCCAACAGTTCTAACAACAGCATAAAAACGTTGCTTGATCCAACAGTTCTAATGATAGAATAAGAACGTTGCTTGATCCAACAGTTCTAATAACAGAATAAAAGCATTGCTGGATAAAACAATTCTAATAACAGAATAAAAACATTACGGATACAGCAGTTCTACTTACAAAGTATAAACGTTGTTGGATAAGTAAAGTGCAAGTAAAGAACAGTATATAATAATATGTCAACCACACTATAATAACTATATTCGGTGTCGACGAGGCCTTTCGGGTAATTACCAATTATACCAATTAAGCAGCGCCTCTGGATTTCCTTGCGATCAAACTGTTGAAAAACGAACTCAGAAATCATTGTTCTCTAACATAAGATAAATTATGGAAATCTAGCAGGGATTAGTGGTGCGTTTTGGACATGATAACTTACGACAGAGCCTTCTGCGATGGAAAGTGCTCTGCTAGACTACAGTCAACATGCAGGACTGTCAGATAGAGCATGACTTGACAAGGTAACATGGACTGGAATAACGTAGTGAGGCTCTAATATCGATTTAATATAACATACGTAACATCCGTAGAACGTGTTTGTAATGAGAATATCATTCACTTCAAATTTACACGTAACTGACTACGGAACTACACGTGTTCCAAGATTTAATCAATTATCATTCACGTTTGTTTGTTTTTGTTAAGCAAATAGCTGCACAACAGGTTGTGTATGTTGTGCTAAAAGGGTATGTATGTTTTTTTATAGCAAAGTCACATTGGGCTAGCTACTGTATCCATCGAGGGGGAATCGAACCCCTGATTTTAGCGTTGTATGTCCCACCGGCGGACGGACATTACTAAAAGAAAGGTAAGCACAGAATTTCAGCGTTATAAGTTAGCAAGCTTACTGCTAAGCTTACGTTCACAAAACATGTTCTCGAATTTTTATATTTTGCGAATGTTCTTAAAAGGTATTACTGTATGATAAACTTCCAAGTTTGTACGAACTAAAACCATATCCAGTTGTACAGCGAAAGATAATATTTTTAAATTTTATTGCTTTCAAAAATTAGAAACAGCACTTCTGTTTATATCTTTTAATTTGCGTAATATTTTTATGTATTGGTTGCTTTTATAATTTTCCAGATAAGATTAGAAACCATGTTAATTTTTTATAGGTTCTTATGATGCTTTTCCAAGTAATATTAGGAACCATGTTAATTTTTTATAGGTTTTTATGATGCTTTTCCAGGTAAGATTAGAAATCATGTTAATTTTTTATAGGTTCTTATGATGCTTTTCCAAGTAATATTAGGAACCATGTTAATTTTTTATAGGTTCTTATGATGCTTTTCCAGGTAAGATTAGAAATCATATTAATTTTTTTATTGGTTTCTATAAGGGTTTTCCACATAAAATTAGCAATCATGTTAATTTCTTTTTGAGTTTCTTTGATGATTTTCCAAGTAGGATTAGAAATCATGTTAATTACTTTTTTTTGGGTGGTGGGGTTCTATGATGCATTTCCAAATCACATTAGTAGTCACGATATTTTCTTTACTGTTTGCAATAAAACCTCTCTCTCCCTAAACTAGATAACAAAACATCAATTAAGATATAGCTTTAAATTATCTACACACACACACATATATATATATTAAATTATAGAATGTAATTATGTACGTCTCTCACCGTGTGCAGACATTTTACTCAGAGATTAATTAACTTGCTACACTAATAGTAAGTCTATATATATTAAATTATAGAATGCATTTATGTACGTCTCTCACCGTGAGTAGACATTTTACTCAGAGATTAATTAACTTGCTACACTAATAGTAAGTCTATATATATTAAATCATAGAATGCATTTACGTACGTCTCTCACCGTGAGTAGACATTTTACTCAGAGATTAATTAACTTGCTACATTATAGTAAGCCTATCTTTATAATATTTTAAACATCTTTCCGTCACTTGGCTGAACAATCGATAATTTCTAGATTAACGTCACATGTTTCTTGTCTCATTAATTATTCATTGTATTTAAAGGAGTTTCATTTTAGTGGAAGACTGCCGCTAGCTAGCTCCAAGCTCTGTACACACACACACACATATATATAATACATTACAAGTATTGAAATGTTTTACACTTAAAACTTTCCGTTCTGGAAATGAAGCAATTTAAAGTGTCACAACTAAGGAGAGAAAGTCGGATAAGTGTCACTGTACAATTATTAAAATACAATGTGACAAGAGGATAGGCAGACCAAAGCTAAATAGAGAGAGACTATCAGAAATAGAAACAGAATACTGATATATTTCTGCCTCCATAAGGATTAGGGTTACGTGGATGGAGGAATCACGCAAAGTCCCCAAGATTAAGCGTGTTGTTTGACATATGAGAAACGAGGTTCGAGTTTCATCATGTATCGTTCTCATTGTTATTCGTGCGAAACTCATACGATGAGTCTCTTTTGTTTGCGGCACGTGTAATAAATGTTCAAAAATTCTGAAAGAATATTATATACCAGAGTTGAAGCTTGTATCTAGTAAACACGACCATACGTTTCATGCTCAGGGAAAAGTCAAGATTGGTAATTATGAAATCGATGGAAGATTTTTAAAAAAATCGATAACTGAATTGAAAATAGTTAAGCTGAACTTACAAACTTACAAACATGATTTAGCGCATGTTCAAGTCACCTTACAAAATCTAATTAACACTTGATAAACGCGTAAAAACAGTATCACAAGCACTTTCAAAATAATAGACATGAAAAACGTTTACTTTTGTTACTCATACTTACTGACATTGTTAATTACTTTTGAAAGAAAATTAAATCATTTTTACCAATTGTTACAGGTTTGTACTGTAAGAGATATTTTCATGTTAGTTATGGTATGGCTTATACTGTAAGAAATATTTTCATGTTAGTTATGGTATGGCTTATACTGTAAGAAATATTTTCATGTTAGTTATTGTATGGCTTATACTGTAAGAAACATTTTCATGTTAGTTATTACTTGGCTTATACTGTAAGAAATATTTTCATGTTAATTATTGTATGGCTTATATTGTAAGAAATATTTCATCTTAGTACATGACTTATACTGTACGAAATATTTCATGTTAGTTATTACGTGGCTTATACTGTAAGAAATATTTCATGTTAGTTATTACATGACTTATATTGTAAAAAATATTTCATGTTAGTTATTACATGACTTATACTGTAAGAAATGTGTTCATGTTAGTTATTACATGACTTATACTGTAAGAAATGTGTTCATCTTAGTTATTACATTGTTTATAATGAAAGAAACGTTTTTGTTTTGGCTATTACAGGTTTAAATTAGAAGAAATATTTTCACTTCGGCAATTATATGGTTTATACCATAAGAAGCATGTTCGTTTCGGCTATAATAGGACAATTTTAACCCATTTAGAGTTGAGTTTCTTGAGTCTTAAAATCTATCACAAAATCAAAGTCTCATTCGGTCCATCTAGTGAATCTACTAGATCAGTTTGTTGAACGTCAACTTAAACTGCAAATACATATATCCACTATTCAAATTACCTTCGTTGGCTGAGAGACAGCCGCCAACGAGTTGATTTAATGCCGTGGTGAATGCCTTTCAGTGAGGGAAGAGCTCAGGAATTCGGCATTTCATCTGAGAAGTAAAAGGAATGGGAAGCCTTTCATTCACATTTTGATTAATAATTCGGTTCTAGCCTCGAAGCAGGTTATGCAGCAAGTTTGATTATAGAAAAAGTCGTTGTAAGTGAAGTGCTGACGTTATACTGCTATTGTTTTTTAAATCTGCCGAAGACACTTTTAATTGCCTTATGAATGATAGCTACCAAACGTATTATGATTTCTCGAAATAGTGTTTATTGAATAAAACATTCAAACTTCAGACTCTTAAGATGTTCTCCACAATCGTTAAATAAAAGTCCAGAGAAACAGCTTTTGAGTAGATTGTTTATTTATTTTTTTATATCTTATTATTGCGTTTTGACCACTCATGTGGCCACCATCAAGTAACTGTCATCTATTAGTGAAATATTGCGCGAGCATGGGTAGCCCATCCCTCCTTCACCTGGATTATGTAAATTGTTTATCAAGAAAATAGAATGTCAGGCCATTAACACAGTTCTACACCCTCCCACACACTGGTGTAGATACGTTGACGATGTATTTTGTGGATTTGAAGACAATATCCATCAATAGTTATTTCTACAACGCGTAAACAACGTTCACTCTAACATCAAATTCATTCGTGAAGAAGAGATTTAAAACCAGATTTTGAATTACATGAATAAAGAAACTCAGACGATTTTAAAATGAAAATCTTCTATAAATCTAGTAATGACAACTACATAAAGTGGGACTCAGCCCACTAAACTCAACAAGAAATTGGCACATTACCATGTATTTACAACACAACATTTAACATATGTAGTAGTAGTAATCTACAGCATGAACTAGAATCAATACCCCCATACGTATATTAACAAATGTCACTTCTATAGTATGAACTAGAATCAATATCCCATACGTATATTAACAAATGTCACTTCTATAGTATGAATTAGAATCAATATCCCATACGTATATTAACAAATGTCACTTCTATAGTATGAATTAGAATCAATATCCCATACGTATATTAACAAATGTCACTTCTACAGCATGAAATAGAATCAATATTCCATACACATATTAACAAATGTCACTTCTACAGCATGAACTAGAATCAATATTCCATACGCATATTAACAAATGTCACTTGTATAGTATGAACTAG